GACATGTAGACAGTTGTCATTATCAAAACAGAAAAAATAAATTTAAATGACAGAAGACATTTATGACGTTTATAGATCAATATGCAAAAAATACTTCTTAAGTAATTCAATTCATTAATTAACTTGACTTATTCAGAAAAAAAAATCCACTTGATTAGCTGTTTCCATCAACATTTCTAAGACCATGACAAGCTCACACAGTTTGGCTGGTGCTCAGAGAGAAACTTAACTTGGACATTATTCAACTAAACTCTGAAAAAAAATGACAGGCAATTGAGCTGGTGAAACAGGATTGCAACAATGCTGGAATAGCTAAAATGAGTTATAGAACCAACAGTCAAACCAGCGATAGTACAGAAAAAATTGGCAAGGAAGGCAGCAATGTGCGCTAGATTGAACCACTAAAAGGGAAACAACAAATTGAACACTTTCTTATTCAACCTTCGGTTTGATTACAATTACATCGTTTTCTCTTGTTTGCCAATGCATATGCTACACAGGTTGGCAGGCAGAAGAAGCTAGGAGAAACTTGGTGGCCAAGGTCAATCAACATCGATGACAGAAACCAGGAAAAACTTATACGAGCCAATGCCAAGGACATATGCATGCTATATGCAGGAACCCTAGAAACATATAAATATAAGCAGGCATCCAGTACAGAACCTTTTTTTTTTCTTATCATACTGTGCTCCCCAATGTTGTTACCTGAATTAACAGACCAAATTTTTTCAAGAAAAACTGTGGTCCAAGGCTTTACACACTTAACTGAGATAAACCAGTCATTGATGCATTTTATCCTTCTACCCTCGACTATCAGATGTTTGGACTACAAAAAAAACCCTCAGTTTCCTATTTTTGGTACCATACTAGTGAACCAGATTGGTAAGAAGGAAAAAACTTGACAGGCATAGGTGCCTGCTTGGAGTTGAGATTTCTTGGAGACATGAATATCATATGCAGGGGTACCAGGAATTATCCCATATCTTTTCCAGTAAAAATTGCTTCTACAGACTTCAATAGGAGAGTTATCAACCATGGCAACACTGTATAAACTGCATACCATTGCAAACTCAACAAATGCAATACGTGTTGAATGTACATGATCCCCTAAGAGCCTCAGCCTTGAGACCTGCATTCAAATATAGGCCACCGCATTTTATTAGTTACCGATCTATAAAAATTTTGTGAAAAATTGTTCGAAGATATAGAAAATGAAAAGTACCATAAACCAATGGAGTATAATATTACACTCCAATGGGACAACTATTATTCATTCCCAGTGATGGTTGGTGGATATTAACTGTACCTGGATCAACTTTGGGGTGGGCCCCACTCTAGTTAATCCCTACTTTTAGTCATCAGGAACAAATCACAGATGCCCATTGAAATATAGCATACTCATTTCGGTTACGGTATTACTTTCCATGTACCAAATCCAAAGATGATAACTGACCTGACCACACAGCATTTCAAAGAAATTTTTGACATCTGCTTGAGAAACCTGCAATTGCATCCAATTGAACATAATCAGCATATTTGTTCAATTTTCAGAGAATAAAATACAGAAACTGCTTATAAACAGCATAAAACTAGATTTTTAATGAGTTATTCTATCGGAAGGGGTTTTAATCAGATACCTTCTTATCAATATTTGTACAATAAACTGTCCGCGCACACATTTCTCGCTCGTCTTCAGACTGTAACAAAAGTTGAGTACTAAGTCCTCTGCAATAGAACACACACTACCACGAAGGGGAAGTATATCATACATATATTGTGCATGGTGTATATAATACACAGCTGAGCCATTCAACCACTGTGAAACAGTGGAGATCAACTACAGTCCCAAGGAATGACCATCATGGAAACTACAGTTCATCTCCATTATACACCATTTTCAGTTGTGTATCATGTACCGTGCACAAGATGTATGTGTTCTAATTTCCCCACTAAAACCACCACAGAATGATCAATTCTGAGGAGAAGAGAAACAATTTATAAAATGACACAAATACCCTTGGTAGAAATGTCGGGTTCACAGGCAATATAGCAGTCTTTGAAGGTAAAACTCTGACAGGATAAAACCCCAGCATTGTGCCATTAAGGTTTAGTGCTGCTTTTGCACCTTCTGTTAAGATCAATATTTAGCACTTCTCTTTGAAAGTTTATGAACCAAATATCACAAAACAAAATATCCAATATATAACTGCAGAAATAAGCCAGAAGGACAAGGTCTTTATAGCCAACTTACGCTCGGTTGCGAACTCTATAAATGCAAACCGAAGAACTGAATTTGGGTCCCCGCATACGCGACAATCAACTACCTTCAGTAAAAGCAGAGTAAAAGCTTTAGAAAATACATTTTGCAATAGCACTAACAAACTCTATTACATACACATATTCAAGGACACATGCATATGTGCATAAATGCATAAGTATTCAAATTCACATTCCAAGCACATAGATAATGTAATCATGCATCAAAGCCAATCCCATGATCATTTTCACCATCAAACAAGAAAGTAAAACACGTCACAAATTAAACCAAAGTATAGAATAAGACCTTTTCCCTTGATAGAGAAGAATGGTAGAATAGGATTCGTATAGTCGACCCCAGATAATTGGGATAGGGATCTGATAATGATGATGATGATACAATTGGACCTTTTACCTTTGGTACAAGGAGGTCAATCATTCTTGGCGCTTAGATTTGAAATTGGGCAACTGGGTTGTGCTATTGGCCAGGCTCAAATTTCAAAAGAAAATTTCTCGAACTTCATGACACACGCCAAGCGGTCAGATTTGACATCTGATGGCTAAAGGTGAATGAGACCTCCTTGTACCAAAGATAAATGGCCTTAAGTATATGACTCCTAAATAAAACAGGTTTGTAATGCAAATACGAGTCCATACCCCTTGGCCAAACCCATAAAAACATGCTCAAACACTTACAACATCCAATTATGAAAAAAAAAAAAAAATGCAACCAAATTAATAATTATCAACAAAATGTCCTTTAACAATCAAAGAATTTCAAAAAATTTATAACTTCTTAAAAGTGAATGGTGCGTATTTGAATTTAAAATGTAAAACCCACAACCAGAGACTAATTAAGAAGAGAAACCAGGTCAATTTCTTCAAGTAAATCCATCGATAACAAAAATCAAGATAATAAAAATCTCGTATAAGACATTCCATCTAAGAGCATAAGGGTTTGATTCCAGATGAAACAAGATAGAAATCTTTAATGTCAAGTTTTGAATAACTTGGCACATTCTCATTTAGCAACCAGTATACTATTCTTTATGGATTACTCACTATTGACGAACAGTACAGTTGCTCACCGTATTTTGCAGGACAACCATACTCTATACAAAGCGACATAGAGAAACCTACTAAGTGATTCATGTCCATATTGCCTTTCAAACTGTAAAAGAGCAGTTACATCAATAGGGAGAGGGTCCACAGAGCCCCTTCAGTTTTCCTTGTAAAGGAGGGAGAGGAGGTATGAGCTAAAGCAAATATTCATGTATGCATGATGTGCACATGCATCCATAATGCATGGGGTGGACATGCATTCACAGTACACGAACATTGGAAGCATGCATTCGTGCATGTGGATAAAGAAGTACAAAGAAAATGAATTAGGGTGTACGTAGATTCCTGCATAGTGTCTATTACCTACAGCCTTTACAAATGGACATGCGTGCACACACACATAGGTATACAATGAAATCCTGATATCCACAATGAAGGCCCAGGATCATAATATGGGGAGTCCAATAGCGATTGCAATGTGATCTCATGATAGTCAGTAGCTCAGATAGCAAAATAATACTTATGGATCATATTAAATCAATTTTCGGATCCCTGCATGAAAAGCAACCAAGTCATTGTGCTCTGATGGGTAATGCATCACATGGGCACATTATGTATGTGTGTTAAAACAAACACACATACACACACACACACACGCACACTCACAAACATGCTCGCACGCATGCACACACACACACTATGTATGCGTGTTAATACACACATACACTCCCACAATGTGTATGAATGTTAACAATGTATTATGTATGTCTATATTTGTCCATGCATGTGTCAATGTGAGTACACACATATTACCTATGTAAGCCTACCCACACACACATTTACCTATATAATAGGGGGGGCCGGGGGGGGGGGGGGGGGGGAGGGAGGAGAGAGAGAGAGAGAGAGAGAGAGAGAGGAGGAAACGACCGTACTACTAACGAAACGAAAACGAAGACGACGACCGTCCCTTCGTTACGTAACGGAAACGGTAACCCGGTACCCGTA